TTTTTTTCGGGAAGCTTTCTCTGCACGCCCCGATAATTTTGCAATCTGGACCTTTCCGTGGGCCAAATTGTTGTCTAGTACCATCTGAAGTACATTGTAAGAGAACGTAGCGCGTATTCGCCTCGACTCGTCCAAAAACCGACTGGCACCTGCGAACGTCGGGTCCCTGCCGCCGCCTCAGCGGCCGACCCTTGACCCCCGGCGAATCGGGACGCCCGCGATCACGTGACGCCCCCCGACACCCAGTCAGATGTAGAGCTCGGAAGACAGCGGGGGCGAGGGCGCGCACCCCGCACAATCCCACCACATACATCTATCGTGACAACATTTGCTTGAAAGCGTTGCAATTGAAGACAATGTTCAAAAGTTGCAATATTCAGTTGGTTCGCATTTGTAGTAGGCGATACCGATTTATATTTTTGTGTTTTTGTTTTTTGCTTTTACGGGTGGGTGTGATCGGGGAACTCTCGGCGAGGACAATCGTCTTCTAGTGTTGATCCCCCTATTTAAAACAAATTTAATGGATGCTGTCCTGATTCACCCGGGATATTTTTTGTTCATCTTTGATGACATGTGATTCAGTATGCAGCACACGCACGCACGCACGTACGCGCTGATTCACATCACATCCCACGCTACCGGCTGCGGAAATCGCACCATCTCTGCCAGAAACACAGGCGCTGCTCGCGACCACGCTGCGCCGAGCGTCCGAGCCATACACTAATGAGCGGCCGTGCTTGACGGTCGCGACTTTGCCAGATCTGTCGGAGCGCCACAAGAATCAATGCGCGTCACCGCGCGTTCCTCCCGTCGTCTGCCATTGATCGCAGGGGACGGCCCGACAACGGTGGTTTTAAGCGGCTGGCCGAGTGGCGCCCGCCATGCTAACACATGGCGGCATCTGTTTGAGCCCTTCGTTGATGAAAACAAAGGTGACCAGAGGACCTGCTCGGCCCCCGCCATCCCTGCTACGGCCATGTATCCACTTGGTCCACTGACGTCAGCCGCTCCCGGCCAATCAGCTGACTCCTGCGCACTTGGTGGCGTAGCTCTCAAACCAGTTTGCGGGTCGTTTTGAAGGTGGAAAAGGGTACGTACCTGCTCGTATTTAGTTTCAGTATTAGATATACGAATGGCGATCTGTGCCCTTTATGATTTGTGAGCGGTCACTAGACTTTAGGGGTAAGCCACTTTACATTTGACTTTTGTGTTTCGTTTTGTCCATCAAACTTAAGCCCAGACTCTTGTTCTCCCCACAGACCAGACCTGACATTGATCCCACTGATGTACCGGTCTCGTGGAAACTTGCGTCCGAAGCACATTTGGTTTTCTACCCATGGCGGGTTACGAACCTTCCATCGTTTTGCTTGCAGTTGAAACCCGAATTGCTTTGCTGTAAGGTCTCATGAGAAAACAAAATCGTTCAACATATTTAGTTTTTTTGGAGCGGGGGGGGGGGGGAGGGATCGCGAGACTGTTAGGTTAGATTACAGGTCTAGTTCAACTACAAAATGAGAAACAATACGGAAACGAACATTTTGTCAGGACAGATTTTCAATTTGATTCCGTGTTGAACATAATGGCTAGGACTCCGAACCCGCCATTCCATTAATGTAATGCATGTTCAACGCATCCGTTTTGCCTCGGCCCCCTGTCGAAATTGCGTGAAAGGGCCCTTACCATGCCATACGACCACAGGACTGTCGGCCGCCCTGTAACCGGGCTGACGCTTCCAAGCCAACGGCCAAACGGCCCTCTTTGACGAGCCCTGTACGAAAGCTTATTCTGGAAGGCGAACGTATCACCACGCGTTTCGCCACATCACGAATACGGTCTTTATAACTTCAGCGCTCTACCGAACTTGGGCTTCCACCACGCCGATTGGTGTGTCTGCGCGGCAATACGTGTTCTTTTTGCGAGCATTTTACGCCTTGCAGCCGACGGGCTGGGAGAAAAGCGATGTCGGTAAACCGCAAATCCACTAACTTTTGTGTTCAGAGACATCATCCGTGACCTACAAAGCAGTCACGCATAGCCGAAACGCGGATAAATGAATTGTCACCATAAATTGGGACACAAGTACTGTTTTTGAATATCTTACGCCGTTAGGTGCAATATTAGGGGAATGCTTAAACTTTATCTGGAATTTTGCGGCCAAGGTGTTTCATTCTTTTAGCCGCGTTTTTTACCATTGTATGGAATGCAACGATTCGGTATTGAGTCAGACCTTGAGGTTGCGAGGGAGAAGTGCTTCGCCGTGTGCGGCAGGTAGTGATTCACTCAATCATGCTCAATCTTGCGCATGCAAATAAAGTTTTTGTGTGCGTGAAGAAGTGTGAAGAAGAGCAGCAGTATAGCAGTTGACGCGGCAGCAAAGAGCGCACCCCCAGTCGGACGTGACGTGGGCGTACGCGTGCGGACTGGAGCTGGAGCGGCGGCAAGGGTGGGTGTGGAGCATGACATCCCCCGTGTCAGTTCTCAAATCCCGAGGCGACGTCCGCCGAGAGTGAGGGCGTGCGGGCGCCCACAGCCCCACATCCTCCCGTGTTGAAGCGGCCACCAGTGACGTCATCGTCTGCCGTTCCAGGGGTCGCGACCGCGTGCCGCCGTTCCGGTACGACCCAGCCCTGCGCCTGTTCACGCACTGAGGCGGAGGAGCGGCCGCACCGAGGCGCCGAGACGGCCCGACGGCGTCCGCTTTGCAGAGCCGGCGAGCGCGGCGCCGAGTGTCAACCGGCCGCGCCGCCCAGCCAATACAAAGCCCTCTGCTCGTCTGCGCCTGTGGTTTGACGCGGTCGCCGCCGGTCGCGCTCCGAGCGTCCGCGCGTTTTGTCTTGGACGGGGCGCTGAGATGCGGCCGGATCGAGTGACAGGCCGAGAGTCACGCGGACACGGACGTGCCACGAGGCGGCCGCTGTCATCTCCACGCACGACACGGACCGCGGGCGTGCCACGAGGCAGCCGCTGTCATCTCCGTGCACGACACGAGTCGCGGACGTGCCACGAGGCAGCCGCTGTCATCTCCGCGCACGACACGAGTCGCGGACGTGCCACGAGGCGGCCGCTGTCATCTCTGCGCACGACACGAGCCTGTCGGTCCAAAGCGCTGTCCAGGCCCCACACGTATCGGGTGTCCAGTTCCCGTCCAGCCGGTAATGAAGCACGGCAGGTGATTACAGCGGGCGAGGCTGAACGCACGGCCGTCCTCGAGCGGCACGGGCGAACCAGCGGCGCCGCCTGGCGACCTGCAGGCGGTCTGCAGGCGGTCTGCAGAACTCCATCATTCAGGCGTACCGTCGGTTTAGCGGTGTTCCGTGAATATTTGGGAGCCATTCTGCTTGCTGGAGATGCGGACGCCTCTGGGCGCCAGCTGGAGGCGGGCTCGGATGCATTGTCAGCACGGACTCCTGCAGAGCGTTACAGCCAGCCGGAATGCAGCAAAACGCCAGAAATCCGCAGGTGCTATGTATTGATCGCTCCCACACCAGTGCGCTCCGAGAATGCCATATCGGCGATAAATGACAATATCGTGCATCAGAGGGTCAGCTGGGCTGAGCGCTGCGTACAATGAGCCGACGGCTCGTCCATCCTATGACGGACGTCACCGGCGCGGCGCTGAGCCAGGGGAGTCATGACATGGCGGACGTCACCCGGCGCGGCGCTGACCAGGGGGAGTCATGACATGGCGGACGTCACCGGCGCGGCGCTGACCAGGGGAGTCACCGACATGGCGGACGTCACCGGCGCGGCGCTGACAGGGAGTCACGACATGGCGGACGTCACGGCGCGGCGCTGACCGGGGGAGTCACGACATGCGGACGTCACCGGCGCGGCGCTGACCGGGGGAGTCACGACATGGCGGACGTCACGCGGTCCGCTCCACCCGTGCACCCATCCAGCCAACTGCCTCTGCCACCGGCGCCGGGAAGCCGGCGGTCGCAGTGGTCGGCCGGCAGACGCGGCGTCCGGCGGGGCCACCGGAGCACTCGGCGGGATCGGACGCAGTAGGCGGCCGGCACGGCGCGGCGAGTGAGCACGGAACCAGGTCACGCGCGGCGGAGCCGGCAGCGGCCGGGCGCCCACACAGGCCGGACGGCGAGAGGCACTGGAGCGCGGCGCAGCCGCCGTCGGGCTCGGCACCCCGCGAGCTGGCGGCGGCCCCCACGGAGCCGGCCACGCGCTGGAGCCGCCCGACGCGCGAGGCCGGGGCCGCCGCCCGCCGTCGGACCAACACAGGTGAGGCCACCGCCGTCAGCGGCCGACGCCACGAGCCCCTGGGCGACACAGTCGGCTCCATCCATCCCGCCGCTAAGTACAGGGGGCGGTGAGCCGCGCGCGGCGGCATGGAAGCGCACGGGCGGCAGCGCGATGGGACGTGAGATTCTGCGGCCGGGACAGCCCCGGGCGGGCGGCCGGACCAGGGCGAGCCCAGGGGCTCGAGCTATCACAGGACACGTGGACTCGGTATCTGGTAAGGGCGCCGCATTGTCCATAAACAAGCTCAAAACCCGGCAAAACAAATATACCTGTACAATTATACATAAATATTGCATATGTGATGCATTTGATTAACGGGTATTCACCATGCAAAACCGTACCAACAAATCAGAACCGTTAATTACAGTACGTAAAGTCACCAGAACAAAAAGAGCGTAGCTGCAAACAACGAGCGATCAAACTAAGACCTCACGCTGGTCAGTGGTCGGTCACCAGCGCGCTCCCGTTGTACAACCTGCGGGATATCTGACCAACGTCTATAATAAGTCATATTACTGGCACCGAAAACCCGCCAAAAATATAATTCCGTCGGTTGCAAAGGGCACATTGATTTCTAGCTCACCCATCCCACGCACGCGCGCTGAATAGGACGTGCAGAATGGCATCGCACGAACAGCGCGGCACGGACACCGGGTTCCGGTGTGCCGCGGCTGTTGGCGGGCTGCAGTCGTCGCCGTGTTGGCCGCGCTCCGTCGGCGGCGGGCGGAGCGGACGGAGGCCGCTCACACCAGCTGGTGGTGGCGCCGGCCGCCCCCCTCCCGGGGCGACGTCTCCACCGTGTGCCGGTCCTCCTGCGCCGGGGACGGCCGGGCCGGTCAGGTCAGGTCAGGTCAGGTCCGGTTCGCCGGCGAGGCGCGCCGCGACGCACGCGCCGACCGGCGCGCTGCGAGCGGCGTCTCGCCCCCTCTCCGCCCACCACCCTCACAAATGATTCGGGCATGGGATTGTGTAGCATTACAAGTTGCGACCAACACCACGACCCTATTGATTGCCTGGCGGAGACCGGCAGGGAGGTATCGACCGGCTGACCGAACCGCTCGTCCGGCAGCCTGACCGGCCGAACGCCAGCCGTCGCCTGCTGTCGTCCGCGGCCCGACAATGCGGCTCTGTTTGCCCCTGAGATCATACTAGCGCACCAGGCGTCACTGCAGAACCGAGGTTTATGTCCAGGTCTCCCACGTCCCAAGCCCGTGAGTGTCGCACCACCCGGTCATACTCGGGCCCAGGGCACATGGCGGGATCATGGCGGCTGGCCGCCAGAGCCGGCGGTCACCACCAGCGGCGTGTCCCAGCCGTCGCCCAGGGCGCCGGTAGGCTGGTGGCCGGGCTGCCACCCGGGCTCCAGCTCGCCGCGGCCCGGGGGTCGGTACTCACAAAGGGCGGCCGGTGGCCGGGCTCGTACGGCTCCAGCTCGCCGCCATCCGGGGGTCGGTACTCACAAAGGGCGGTCGGTGGCCGGGCTCGTCCGGTTCCAGGTCGCCGGCCGTGAGCGGGTCATCGCTGAGCAGCAGCTGGTCGCCGCCCGGCACCGGACCGTGGCCCAGCATGGCGCGCGCGCCACCCCGCCGGTTAAAGTGGAACAGCCGCGCCAGCTGGGCGAACTTCCGCCGAGAGGCTGAAGCCAACGACGGCGGCACGTTAGCGCGGCGAACTGGACAGGAGCTGGTGACGGGTGGCCTCGGCTCTGGGAGCCGGCTCGCGAGCTGCGAGCTATCGACCAACGGCACCGCTGGACGTGCCGAAGTGGTCAACCCGCGCTACGTTCCACGACGGTGCTGCCTGTCCCATCAGACCTGCTCGTTCAAAGCTGATACTAATGCAACAATAATAGAAATCACGACAATCAGGGACTGTGCAGCAAACCACTTGGGCTTCGGGTGTAAGCGACGGTAGGAGTCCTCATTGAATGGGTAACAAAGAGGCGACCATCTCCTTCACATTCCCAACAGGCGACTGATGGCGAAGGGAACACTGAAGATCATCGGATCGGATTTGCACGCATCTGGGGAGGGGGAATCCAGGAATTTGTTTTCACAACTTCTGCTAAACCGTGTCGGTGCATTGCAGGCGAAGACCGTTTTGGAACATCGGAGCATCCGAGGGAGGGCCGCTGAGTGTCCAGCAAACAGCTGGACGGTGGCCGGCGGCCCCACCGGACCAGCAGCCCGGCACGCTCGCCCACCTTTGCCCATGTGCTTGAGCCGCTCCTTGAAGGCCTCGTCGTCGGGGTACTTGTGGATGGCGTTGGTGTCCTTGGAACCGTGCTGGGTCTCGTCCAGCGACTCTGCCGACGGCCGACCCCGGTCAACCCTCACACTCAGTTGGGACGGGCTCAGGGTCGGCGCGGACGCGACGGCCAGCACGGATCGCGTTCCCACGATCTCGGCGCACCGCCGCTCGCCACGGCCAGTCAATACGCTGCAGGATGCGCTCCCGGCGTTCGCGGAGAACTTGAACGGGATCGTCCTGCGACAGATATTGCGGTGCGCAGTATGGAGCTTCAAACACGAGCAACTGCTCTGCAAGGACAGCTCATCCTGGACTGAATCACAGTTACTGGATCTAGTGAAATATGACTGAATGACTGGCTGAATACGATCTGTAAGTACATGTGACAGGGGCATCAATGGCCCCTCCACCTATGCGGATTACCTGAACGGTGCGGGACACCACCAGTGCGGGACAAAGACAAGTGTACCTCGACCTCATACGAAACCACCCCTGATATGAACTGCCATTATTACACGAGTAACGAGGGATGCCGAGCCCAGCTCTAAAGCTTAAGCTCTTAAGCCCGCTGGCAGCTGGCGGACCGGCAGCAGAATCCTGTGCTGATTCCGCGGCAGTCAGCCCACGCCAAACAGAAGCCAAGAAGCTCTGTCCGCGCTTTGCACGCCCGCAGGCTCAACAATGGTACCTGCAGGCCGGAAAAGCTGCCGACTGCGGAATCTGCAGCGGGTCTGCAGCCAGTACGCAGTGTGTTAACTGGCCTTAGCGGTCCCCACAATGCCTTATAAATGCAAACAAAGCTAGCCAAAGCGAGCCGCTTCAATGGCCTGAAGGTACGTGATCTGTCCTGGAAGCGTACTCGACCTGCGCCAACTGTCCTTCTGATTGTCCTTTTGTTCCAATACAAGGACGTCTGGCAGCAGGCGTCCCTCTTAATGGCCGAAGAGCGGACATGCACCAGTCTCGGGACTACCCCGCGCCTCTGAAGGCCACCAGACCGGGAGGAACGTGCGTGGAGCTGAGGAACCCACGTGAAGCGCGCAGGGCAATGGCGGCAGCCCGCTAGCTGGTGACAACGCCAGACGGAGCACGACGTCGGCCGGCTGTCGCCATCCGCTGTGGGGTGCGGACCGGGACAGTTCGAGGCCACAGACCTCGCCATGGAGGCCGGGACGGCCGGAGGAAGGGGAGGCATGGGAGCCGCGGCGCACCAGCCCTGCTTCGACTCACCGTATCCCTGCCAGTGCGGCGCCGCAAACGAGGGCGTGTCTGCAAACAGCGCCGGCCGGGGTGTGAAACCAACACAGTCATCCAAATCGGTCACAAGCGTGCAGGGAAACAGCTGAAGCTCCCGAGAGTGCACACCGATCTGTGTCAAATGCAGAAGCCACATGCCACTCGCAAATGGGTGTCCATCTGTCTCAACGGGTCCAGCTACGCGCAAGCTACTCTAGGCAACCAAATGTATCGCCGCCAACTAATGCCAATAAACGGCCGCTGAGGAAAACCGGTGTCGCTCAGGGAGGAGCGGGCTCGATCGGCGGCCGTGCTGCTGTGCGCCCCACGATCGCGCCCCGGCTGCGGAGGTTCACAGGTCGCGCTGCGCCAGTGGTGGGCGGAAAACTCTCACAAGCCTACCGAGCCGAGCCAAGGCGGGGCTAGCCATGCGCACCCCACACTGGCGCCGGCGGCCGGCCGACGGAGCAGCCGGCGCCCCAGGCCGGGCCGGCGCGCACCTCGTCCCCACTCACCCACATCGAGTGCGTCCATGAAGTCGCGGTTACGGCGCAGCTCGTCCATGAACTCGTCGTTCTGCAGCATCAGCGCCACCCGCTCGTCCTCCAGGTAGCGGGCCACCTCCGGGTCGGGCTCGGCGCCCAGCGCTGCCAGCTGGCGGCGGTTCTCCTCCAGCCGGCCCTGCAGGTCCGCCGAGTTCAGCCGGCCGCCGCCAGAGGAGCCACCGGCGCACGGCGCCGCCTGCAATGCAGAGGCCGACCTCACGGACTGTGCTCAGGACTGCGTCACGGAACAGGGCACAGCTCACGGGAGCAATCGGAGCCGCCTCCAAAAACACCGACAAGGCCCGCTCAGAGCACCCAGTCCTTCGCCATCTTTGCCTCCACTTGTTCTCCATGTTGTTCGCGACAGCGCACGATCCCGTCTCAATGGATCGCTCCGAAAATATCGAGCATTATAAACGAGGGAGGGCCTGGCCACCGAACGCATACGGGTCGCGGCCACACGCCGGCCTGTCCCGGCGCGGTGACACGGTCAACGGGCAACGGAGGTGGCATTGGTCCCCGCGCCACATGTGTGCGTGTTAGAAGACAGCTTAGCGCCGTTGGACGTGCGGTGATTTATAGCTATTCTCATTCCACACATGACGCTTGTGGGCTTTTGTTGATCAAAAACTCTGGCATGCCAGCGGCGTGTTCAAGAACGCCTGGCCGGAAGGATAACACATGATGGGAATCGGGCGGCCTTGGCGTCAGCTGACGTCCGGCGGGCAATGGTCCGACCGAGGCTTATTCAATGGTCCGACCAGGACTTATCCAATGGTCCGACCAGGACTTATCCAATGGTCCGGCCGAGTTTTATTCAATGGTCCGACCGAGACTTATCCAATGGTCCAACCAGGACTTATCCAATGGTCCGACCAGGACTTATCCAATGGTCCGGCCGAGTTTTATTCAATGGTCCGACCGAGACTTATCCAATGGTCCGACCAGGACTTATCCAATGGTCCGACCAGGACTTATCCAATGGTCCGACCAGGACTTATCCAATGGTCCAACCAGGAGGTACCACACTTTCAAAACCCTGTGGTGAAATATGTCTACGTCACAGTCACAGTGTACGTGCAAGATTTCATGTAACGTGCGCCAAAATCTCAACATTCGTGGCCTGCATGGTCAAAGTTAGTTGACTCCTCACATGCGCTCTGGGTTAAAGGAAAACAAACTTACAGACAGCACAGTGACATTATGCACGATGACTGGATCCACAGATTATGTTTAGTTGATGGCATCTCCACTGAGAATGTTAACCAAAAATAGCATGATCATATCGAGCTGCTGAGCTATCGACGGCAAGTGCTCATTATGATCGCGCACAGATCGATCATCAACTAAAATCCCCCTGCTTTACCGTATATCCGTCCCCGGCAGTGCAGGGGAGCACATTAATCGACAACAGAGGGGGCTTCCAGGACCCAGAGATAACCGACACCCTTCCAGGCCTCGTGACCCCAACTCCGAGCTGACTGGATACGTCTACAAGCGGGAAACGGGCGGTAGCCTTGGAAGAGCGCAGCGGGACAAGGTGCAATCGACTATGACGTCATCAAAATATTGCTTGCGTCAGGGTGAAATCAATTGTTTAAAGCTCTGTGTGGGTTGGGCTAGTCGCCACGTCTGGAATTATGCACGAGTAATTCATATACACGAAATAACACACATTCTTATCCATGAGGTTCTCATGCACAGAAAATATACCAAATATCAGTAAAATATACTGTTCTTTAATCACTGGAACATATTGTTCTTTTTCCATTGAAACATTCTGTTGGGGGCGGGGGGAGGCGCATCAACTGCTGTAGCTGATGCAGCCGAAATAAAAAATGAAATACAATGTTCTGTTATGATTCACATACATGCTCTACGTAAGCTCTGGCTTATCTCATAAGCCGATGGGCAGGAAACGGCTCAAACGCAACCATTTAGGAATGGAGCCGCATCTGCTTGACTCAGAATCAGAGTGACCACAAGGCTGTGCTGTGGCGACGAAAAACGGATCTGGAATCAACCGCTGGCACCGCCAGTCGGAGTTGAAATCGATTCTGCTGGCGAGGTATCAGCTGCGCGCCCGCCGCTGGAGCAGGCGCGGCGCGGCGCAAACCGGACGGCGCCTGACGCGACTGCCGCTCAGCTGATCTCTGAACACACCGACCGCAGCGGCTGTCCACAATCCGCTGGGATAAGGTCCAGACGTGGAATCAATGGCGGCACCCCGGAGCACCGGGTGCGAGACGGAGCGCCGCCGCGAGCCTGGCACGATCGCGAACTCGGGCCGCAGCACCGTCCGCGGGGTGGGAGGGGACGAGAGCCAGATGGAGAGCATGAGTCAACACCGGGCCAGACACCGGCCGCCCCCCTGCGCCGAGGCGCCGCCGACACAACTAAACAACACACTCCAGCCGTCTACGTGTCGTCAGCCAACAGACACGGCCCTGTCACCGAGCATCCCGCTAACGGGAGTGCGGCCGGCGCAGCGCCGGGGCGCGGCCCCACCTCTGTCAGGCCGGTCGGGCCGGCGGCCGGCGGTAGCACCCGGACCGTGTGGACGGCCGGCGCCGGCGCCCCGCGTCCGCCTCCGCCGCCGTCGGCCAGCGTTGCCCACTCGGGGTCAGGCAGGGCGCCGGCGCAGTCGCGCCGCCAGCGCCGCTGCCGGCGCAGGAAACGGCGCCGCGCGCGGCCGTCGTACCAGCGCCAGTAGGCCGTCTTGAGCAGCCGCAGCGGGCTGGGCAGGCGGCAGAGCAGCGACGCCAGCTGGCCCAGCCAGGACACCGGGCCGCCGGCGGCCGCCTCCCCGCGCCGCGGCAGCCGCAGTGCCGCCCTTTCCGCGCACATCGCCACGGGCCGCGCGCCGCACAGCACTGCAGGCGTCCCACGCGGGACGCGGTGCGGGCCCCGCGCGTCGCCTTCAGCGGCAGCGCGGCGGCCGGCTGGACGACCGCGCGGCGCGACAGGCCGCCGGGCGATGTGGGTCACGGGCGGGCCTCTCGACGCACCGCAGGCACGTTACAGCGCCGCGCACTCAATTTCACCCGGGTCCCGGACGCCCGCAGCTGGGGACGAGCCGCGCCCGGCTGGGGACGCGCGGAGCCGGTCTAGTGCTCGCGGACACCCGCCCGTTCACGTCTGAGACGTCCTGCGGCCCGACGCGCACTACTGACCGGTCCGTTCGCGCGCCGAGACAAGCGCCTTATCGCCACGATGTGGCCACAGCGGGCGGGTCCGCCGAGCGGCACCGAGCGGCCGCGACGCCGCCAGTGACGGCGCATACGGCCGCCGCCGCCGCCGGCTCCGTGGCGCCTGAATCGGGCGGCAAGCGCGATGGCTGCCGTGACTGAAGCCCGTCTCAGACGGCGTTCGATCACTTCAGCACCGTGAGCCACGGTGGATGTCGAACGTGCCCGCCCCGACCCGCGAGGGCGCTGCACGGTGCCCTTCCGGCGGAGCGTGATCGCGGCATGACATGCCAGCAGACTCGGCCCTCTCGCTGGAGTCGGCGACTATGCAGCGTGTTTGAGGCGCACGCAAGTGATGCCCGCGGATCCAAAACGTGGTTCGCGCCGCGGCCAGTCTGCCTGAGCCCGAGCCGCGGCTTCACGCCCACCCCCGTGCCGCTGCGCCCGGGCTCGATCATGTAACGCCACTTGCTAACGTCAGGCTCCCGCCGGAACTAAACAAAAGGTGGACGCCTTCTCCGCACGGCATGGGTAGCACTGCAAGGCTGGTCCGAACAGGCTTGTATGCGTGGCAACTACCTCCTTGCACGTTTATCATTCCTTTGTCAATATGGCCAAGTGTGTGCATTATCCTCTTGGCAAAACACATTGAGATAAGAGGACATCACACCCGTCTCAGTTAATCTTGATCGCCACTAAGTCTAATGCTCTGCCATGCACTCATCAGCTTGGTGCGAAGTAATACGTGCAATAATCAGAATGGTCTTATGGCGTGGAGTTGCTTATTAGGGCTTTGCGGTGCACCGACCACAGTGGCCACTTGGCGCCACGTGATGCGAAGTCACAAGCAAACATGCGCCTGGGGTCCCCTCCCGCCCCCCCCCAAAAAAAAAAATCCCAGGACCCCATTTACATAGAACCCTATGGATACACACTTGAGATCGAGACACATGTGTGGACTCCCACGTTAACGTTCAATTCCTTTCAATTGTCGCGCAAAGGCACGCGTAAACAATGGCCTGTGGAAACCAGCAAACAATGGCAGATGACAAGTGGAAACCAGTAAGCAATGGCCAGATAGGCATTAGATACCAGTAAACAATGGCCGGATGACCAGTGGTAGCCTGTACACAATGACCAGAAGACCAGTGGAAACCAGTAAACAATGTCCAGATGACCAGTGGAAACCTGTACACAATGGCCAGATAACCAGTGAAAACCAGCAAACAATGGCCAGATGACCAGTGGATACCAGTGAACAATGGCCAGATAGCCAGTGGAAACCAGTAACCAATGGCCAGATGACTAGTGGAAACCAGTAACCAATGGCCAGATGGCCAGTGGAGACCCGTGAACAATGGCCAGATGGCCAATGGAAACCAGTAAACAACCGTCAGAAGACCGGTGAAGAACGGTTAACAATGGCCAGATGACTAGTAGAAACCAGTCGTCCATCAACAAGATCATCCCGCCACAAAATAGCCGTTGCTAATACCATCGCTGTACGTCATCGCAGTCAACGACATCTCCTACAGTGATTTCCTCGTCAAGTAAACCAGGTTTTGTACGGTAAGGGTTCATGCCGAAAACACATAACCAGAACCCATAAGATGGTATGTTTCGCCGACTGCTGGCTGTAGTGCCAAGCATGCCAAGCAAAGCCAAGTTCATGAGCAGTTTTGTTCGGTCTGGGCCGCCGAGCTGCCCATCTAGGAGTCGGGAACGGGGGGAGGCAGGGGAGCGGGAAGGGGGCAGCCAGACTCCGTCGATCTGGAGGTTTATCCCCGCTTGTTACAGTCAACTTTATTATTCGACGAATATATTGCTATTCCGAAGAGTATGTATGCACTCGCAATGGCCGTCGTGCTGCAGTGATTCCGTGCAAGGTAAGAGCTACCTGGAAAACTTCTGCCAAACTATTGGACAAACTCATGGAAGATTACAGCCGTCCACACCACTATGACC